AGATTTGAACCGCTGACCTGCTGATCTAGCAGTAGCCTGCAGTGCTGCATTTAACCACTGCGCCACCTTGGCTTTTTACAGACTTTTGTATTTCTTGTCTCTATTACACACTGCAGAAGATTATGGGAAATCTTCTGAGGTAAAAGGTTTTACACATTGCCTTTATTTCTCTTTTTTTAAAAAAAAAAAACAACAACAACATTTGAGACAGGGAAAATGTCCTGGATTACATTAATTATAACCATATAAAACTTGCTTTTAATGCTGAGATCTTCACTTCAACACAGTTTTTGTGGGCACATAGAAGTATTTCAGAATAATGGATGCATCTAGGCTAGAAAAAGGAGAACATTTGAAAGCTGACCAAGTTAGGGCAGTAGAAATTGTGTGAACGTGCAGCATGAAGGATTTTGAATACTGAGAAGATATGACAGGTCTCTCACAAATGCATGCCGTCAGTGGAGTCTGACATTTTGTCCCTTGCAGCCTCATTTAACTTGGTATCAAGTTCCTTAACCCTCAACAGTGAGGAAGAATTCCCTACGCCTAGTATATATCCAAGGTACTTTACAACTGGTGGTTATTACAACAATTGTTTGTGTGTTTGCCAGGTCTCTTTCTTTACATTAGATTTCTGCTATGGAGATATCTGATTTAAATGTATTATTTTAATGCGGAACCCTTTGTCCACCACAGCAAATAATAATAGAAATTGTCTTTCCTGTCCATATCATTTAATTCATATTTGAAAGTAAAGTAAATACAAACTGCAGGTTTCCTCTGATACAAATGATTAATAGATTATTTTATTAACTGTCTTATTACATTTACTGAAGTATCATTACAGAACAAATGAGAAACTATCTCCTCAAAGATTACTGTGTCCTCTTTCAATAAAACCTGCTATTCTACTCCAATATAGATAGTGCAAAAGTGGTTTTCAAAAACTCGGCACTAGAGAGCTCTATTGCCATTCAAGTAGATAAGTATCTATCTAAACATTTACAAGATGGGAACTAATAGTATCACCGTGTAGCTATAAAAATAGCATCAAGGAAAAAGTTATTCATTTGCCATTAGCAGAGGCCCTAACTCAGTGTTTCTCAACCTTGACAACTTTAAAATGAGTGAACTTTACGTCACAAATTCCCTAACTAGCTAATACTGGTGGAGAATTCTGGGAGTTGAAGTCAACATATCTTAAAGTTGCCAAGGTTGAGAAACACTGCCCTGGGTGAATATAATAATCCTATGACAAGAAGTCATTCAAAATTCTATTTGATCCTGGCATGAGCATTCTACCCTATGCTACATAATTGTTGTCATTTTATGTTCAAATGCTTGGGCATTCTTTCATTCACTGTAGTTAAAGAGTTTTCCAGAAAAAAAGATGCATAATAAAAGATTAGGAAGACAATTAAACAGTGGAACAAAAGAAACCTTTAATGGCACCTTTCTATGAAGGTGTTACCATCATGTTACCACCAGTATTCAAGAGAGAGAATCTCAGTGTGTCTGAGGGTCCAGCAATGGTGGGGAGATTTTATGATGGCCTTATTGACCTTGACACAATGATGGGCTTTGGCTGCTGATCATGTTCACTGTTGTTTTCTATGTGGTTTCTGATTATGTACAGTATCTGTTTCTATATTGGTTTGCTGCTTTTTAATTGGATTGTTGTTTTTAACTGTTGTCAGCTTCTCGGAGTCACTTGGTAGATTAGACCGGTAGCTATAAAAAATGAATGAATGAATGAATGAATGGTTTCAGGGAGACCAAAGTAATATTATATTATTAGACAACCATGTCCTCAAGGGTCATTGTTACAGACATACAAGATTCCTTTTCAAATTCCTCAATGCTTTCAATGGCAGAGCTTCTAACGTACTGGAAAATTTCATAAAAATTCAGGGAGATATTCAGAAATGTCTCTACCTTGAAAGTAGAAGTCCTTTGCTGAATTGTATAGCACTGTCAAATATCAACTATTGATCACAGGAAATGTTTTATGACATTTTGCATTGTGTCATAAATGCTTTATGATAATTTTATATAATAAAATGTTATAATTTAATAAACTGTTTATTATTAAATTTAAATGACAAATTTGATAAGATTTATAAAATTTGCCAAATTTCAATTCCACAGGAGTCATGAGTTCAAGATTTTGGATGCATTCTGTAATTGAGTTCATTTGAGATACCTTGTTCAAAAGATTTTGTCCTATGATGTACCATTTCAGCCAGTTAAAGGTTACAGTTTTAGTAGTATATATAGCTTGCTCTTATACTGTGCCTGTAGCTTTTCAATTTAGCCACTGTCAGAACAGATCGTATAAAGGTCTCTGGTCTAATCCAGAGTGTGCTTGTTATGTTTCATATTAATGTGTTTACTTTCATGGCACCGGTTCTATTGCCAACTTACTGTGATCAGGCACTAATCAAAAAGAAGAAATTTCAGTTGGTATACCGTTAACAGCATGTACACAGATGCGCCCGTGCACGCGCACACACATACACACAGAATCTGCTTACACTAGTTTCACTTTACATTTGTATTTTGTATGTAAAACAGTCGTGAAAACTTCGTACATTTGAAATATTTTAAACTTTTGAGAACTGAGTATACATTTCTGATTTTACAGATGTCTCTGTCATATTTCATAAAAATACAGATCATTCACCTGGGCTAATTTTCATGGCTATAATATGGAAGTATATTAGGTAGACCAGAGGTCCCCAACCTTTCCAGCTTGGTGGACCGGTGGTGGTGGGAGGGAGGTATCCCTCACCTGCCACTTGCATGGCCCAGTTCCAAATGGGCACAGCCCAGTAATAGGCCACAGGCTGGGGGACCCCTGAGGTAGATGGCATCCTATATCATGGAAGAAATACCTGAATAATTTATGCTACATGTTACTAAAACTACTGTTTGGGAATACATTAGTAATAGCTTATATTGGTATCAGGTTGCTCCACAACTGAGCATTCATTCTCAAAAATTTTAAAATACAGCTGAAAGCAGCTGTGTATGTTCATGTCTTCTATTTCCTTATTTTTTTCTCAGCTAGCAGTGGCAGGTGTCACTTGATTTATTACATATGATAGTCTGATTCCTAAAGCTAGAGCAAGACATTAAAAGCAAATGGGGGCCTCTAATGCTTTTATTGCTGTCACATTGTGGAACTTATTGTGAGAAATTCTAGGCCGCTTTAATCACTGAAACCAAGTTTATTTTTCCACTTGAAAGGGTGCGTGTTAATACAATATTTATGTTAAACTTCCAGTGAGATCTAGATGCTAAGTGGGGTGATAGGAAGAGTAGCATCTGAAGAATTTTTAGAACTCAGAGAAAACATAAAAAAACATTTCTTGTGTTAGTAGAAGGCAAACTCCTCTTGATTTTCTTTGTGATACTTTTTAGCATAGTTTTTTTGTATTATCTTGCTTATTCCTAATAAAGACATTACTCAACTATGTATTTCAATTCCATGTAATTTTTGCGGATTTGCATATGTAGAGGATGACTGGCAGTGAAAACTACTACTTTTATACTCTTTTACATGAAATGAAATTAAGGAATGCCATTCTATTGAGATACATTTTCTGACTCTATCAAGATGTCACTGTTTGAGGCGCCTATGTCATATCTTCACATTTTGCAAAGAAAAGAGATGATTAGGAACATAATAAAAATCCCCAAGTAATGCTAAATGAAAATTTCAGTGTGTTAGAATTTCTGAATTGGAGATACGTATTTCAAGCCATTTAATTCTAATCTGTGTTCTTTTTTCATATATTTCTCTGTTTGACTATATAGCACATACAACTAGTCTGAAGTAAATATCAAGAAAATGAAGAAAAATAATATATTCATTCTGTATTTCAGGGATGAAATGCTTCTAAATGGAATGAATAAATAATATGAATAATTAAAGCTTATAATTTCTATAATTATGTAATAATGATAATTGATAAAGCCAGTTTGGTCTAATGGTTAAGATATCTGGCTTGAAAGCAGGACACTGTGAGTTCTAGTCCTGCTATGAAAGCTGACGGGGTGACTTTCGGTCAGTCATTCACTCTCAGCCCAACTTATCTCACAGGGTTATTGTTGTGGGGAAAATAGGATGAGTAAGATGTGTTGGGTATGTTCAATGCCTTGAGTTAATTTTAAAAATAATAAAGGTGGAATACAAATAAATAAAATAATGTATTATAATATTTTATAAGTTTCCCCAATATCTGAGAAACATCCCATATTTGTATAATGCAAGTCTGATTTCAGATAATGAAGGAATAATCTACAGATGTCAAAATTTTCATCTGTAATAAATCAATACATACTAAAAATAAAAATGTACATGTTTTTACTCATGTAAACATTTTTTTACAATGAAAGTTATATTAAATTTTTCCTAAGTCGATTTTAAACAACCGTGATAGTTTTTAAAATGAGTTCTTATACATTTTTTTAAACAGGAAATGTTATAGCATATTAAACTAATTGAAGTGGATATAAATTTTTTTATGTTATGTTTTTAGAAAGGACAGAGTTGCTATATAAACTTTACAAACAAAGAAAAAAAGACAATATATCAGAGCATGTGCATAAATAGCAAATGTAAACCATACAGCCAACCACCAAAGAATTGCTATGAATAATGAAGAAGAAATTATTTTTGGCAATGCAGTCTAGGAGGCAAGCCCTTTCATGGAGTACGGACAGAACTTTTCTGCACATTCAATTGTTGGGTGGAATAAAATAACTTCCTTTCTTACACTTATTGCAGTGTTTACCTCTTTGTTTCCTTTCCTTCTCAGTGCCATGAACAGAAAGCTGCACAGTTTAATAAAAGCAGCTTGATATTTCCAATGTCAAATTAGCTGTATTGTCTGCTTTGGCCTACTGTTAATCTGGATGTCCAATTTATGGCTGGGGCTGCTATAGCTAGATCATGAGATCATAGAATAATTTTGAAATATGATTTTTTTTATAAAGTAAGCATTTCTTAATGAGCAAACAGTAGTACAGTGAAAGTAGGAACGGATCCGTTGGGACAACAGAAAAACTATGGGCATTATAAAATAAGTACTGACAGAAACAAACTTAGTTTTGCATTCTTACTGGGGCCATTAAAATTATCCTAATGCTTTAAAGTCACACTTAAACTTTTTGTTTAGCAACAGGCTTATGCAGAGGGAACCAAAATCATCCGATCTATTTGTGACAAAGGGCAATGTTAACAGTGAAGATTACCAGATAAGCATTGGAATTTGAGACAATGTTCTCATAAATTCAGTGATCTGCTTGATATCCAATTAATACTAAATAAAGATCATTAAGTTCATACTATCCAACATATTTCAGTTGACTCCTAACAATGTGCCCAAGAAAAAGAAAAACAGTCAGTGGAAGTAGTAACGTCTAAAATTGGTAGATTTACTAACTTTCTGACCTCAATGAGCCACAATTACGGGCAAGAGCTAATGTTACCGCTTTGGTGTGGCTATTATTCTAATTAATACTTATGTTACATTGCCAAAGAAGTGTGTAAACCATACTGTGAGCTTCATCTATTCACCACAGGCTCTGGTCATTTACAACAATGAACATTTAACATTCAACATAAGTGCTGCACCTTATGATTCTTGACGAATGTATCTTGTCTTTTTATGTACACTAAGAGCACGTACACCAAAGACAAATTCCTTGTTTGTCCTATCATACTTGGCCAATAAAAATTTCTATTCTATTCTATTATCAGCTGCTATCATCTCATATAATCTTCTAAGTGAGCTTGTGCAGATTACGTTTTAAATTCAGATACAACATGAATAGATATGGGAATAATATTAATCTTTTGTCCAGTAAATGCAATCCTGCTATTTAATAGAGTTTAAATACCATTTAAATTAAGAGCATTTCTATATGGGACCAATTCCATTCCCTAATTATTCCAAGCTGTTTTGAAGCCAACTATGAGCATCCTGACACTTGCTGACTTAGCTTAACCCAATTATTCAGATCACCATGAACCTGTCAGCACATTACACCAACCAACAGAAGAGCCCAAAGTAAGTTATCATATAGCTTCTGCCACAACAAGATTAAAATCCCATAACTAGCGGGGGAATTAAAACCATTAACATCATCCAATCTTCTACCCACATTTTCAGAAGAGGTGCATATTTACGTTGAGCTGAAAGGGGTTCATCCACAAGTCCTGGCAAAATGAATACAAAACAAACCAGTACATTCATTTTTGCTCTGGTTTCAAATAAGCCCTTATTGAACTAGAAATATAGTCAATTCATTCTGAGTATCCATTGCGGGGAGGGAAAACATATATGACTGCCATTACTTATTTATGTGTGTTTTACCTGGGTATGCAACTATAGTACCCTAGCACAATCACTAGCATTTTGGCATCACTGCAATTAGCAGTGAATGCTGCTTCAATTAAACCCCAGAAGTGTCTGCCATTTATGTGAATGGACAGTTTGGGGGTTATTTCTGGACTGACACAAAGATGATATATGGACTTGCCCGCAGTTAATTCTCCCTTGCAAATTTCACATCTCCCTGTGCAAAAATTACTTGTTTAAAACATGGTCACAATTTAAAGATTAACTGGAAAAATCAACATACGATATTTTAAAGTGCACTTCAAATATCGTTCCACAAGTGGAGCTGCTACAATATTAATAGTAAAATTATCCACATCATTGAAAATACAGGGAGAAACAAGTAATGGTGACTTTCTTATATACATTACACTCGAAGTAGGAATATTATTCTGTTTCTTATGTTGCCTCTTCAAGGCAATTAATCTTCCTGTTCCCCATGGCTAAATGCCTGATCACATTATAAAAGAGAACAGATATCATTTACCAGCAATGTTCAGCTCATCTTTCCTTTCCCCCTTCTCTTGAAACCTAATCTATGAGAAGTTAGCAGAAAGATTGTAAGTTATTTTCTGCCGATGAATGAAAATCGCTTGGACAAGTATTTTTTTAAGAAATGTATTATCCTTTGAAAAATTGCAGTACCCTATAGGTATTTTGTGGAGATTAGAATGGTTTTGTGAGATAGAATTGTTACAACACTGGAAAAGCAAATTAAAGATCTCAAATATGCTTAATAGATTGATCACTGATTCAACTTAAATGCAATTAAACCAGTTTTGAATAAACCTATCCAAAATTAGGGAGTAAAATGTGAAAATGGTGAAGCCCAATTCTCAGATTAGTTTTTATTTTCTATAACAAATGTAGGAAAAAGGGGAGAAAATTGGTCAGAATTTAGGTCTCATACTGAAATCATAGAGGTCTCTTGCTATTTTAGCCAGCTAATAGCAAAAGTGATTTTAATTCTTCCCAGACTCTTTTTATTGTTATATGCAGCTTCTGTAATCATTTTTCAACATATCTTCAGTCATTGCTTTCTCATAGCAAATATTTATGAGTCTGGGAGAAGCAAACGGGCAGATTTCTCATTCAGGGAAAGGATCTGTAGGTTAATTGAAATGCTTTATCTGAATCTGTTTATTATGCTTGCGATTCTGAAAGAGTCTTTTCAGGCAGTATTTCAGCTGTAACCCTTACAAAGTAGCTAGTTGCAACATGATTTTTTTCTATTATGGAAAATAACCACTTTCATTGTATCATTTCCAATAGAGATGGGTAAGATCTTATTTTCTTTTCTTTAAAAGATTGATCAAACATTGCAATTTCTTCAGAAGGAATGAATAAGTTTGGGAGAAAATGCAACTGCCAAATTTATCAATCTTCACCAGAAAACCAACTACCTGCCACAGAAGTTTTGGGTTACCCCCAAGGCTACATTATGAATTCAAAACACTTAAATAGAT